GGGGGGGGGGGGGGGGGGGGGGGGGGGCTAGGGAATGAACGCAGTAAGAAGATACCTCTCCTGCCCGTCTGCTGGCATGTTTAAAGCATAGCATTCAGAACCAGGTAAACAGCACTGGGTGGGTGGGGTGGCTGGGAGAATGCAGACTGGGAGGGGGTACAGCTAGGTGGCAAGCAGGAGCCATGGGGGGGAGAATGTAGCGTAAGAAAGACACATTAACTTGACCTGAGGGTGGGGGGCTAGATTGGGCTGTAAAAAATTACCACATAAAATTCAGACAAGCTGGAGGACCTGCAGCTTCCATGGCATCAAAACCCAGTGGGGGCCACTGCACTTGGGGAGAGCCACACCACCCCACTGCACTGCCGAAAGGGGGGGCCACGTGATCAGACTCTGTTAATGGACAACATCTTCACGAGTACACCAGCCTGACACGGCAGGTCGAAGGTCAAGGCCCCCGGCGTCTGAGGGTGCGTCTCGCAGTGGGGGTTAGCCAGTTAGCCGCCACGCACAGACGTGACCCAAAGCCCCGCCCTCGGGGGCCCCTTTCAGCCCCGTTTTCAGCCGTTTTGTTTATGACAGGCCCCCGGGATGATCTGATAGGCAGCCACGCGGTGAGGGATTTACAGCAGAGACGCACAGACTCTCGCGACTAAGCATCTGGCACAAGCAGGGGGGGGGGGGGGGGCTGACACAGCCCCCACCCCAATTACTGTAACGTTTAAAAACGCGAAGCGTGGACAATCAATCACGTATTTCTGTGAGGTCGATCTTCCGTGTGGGATTATGGAAACAGACATACCAGCAGCCGCAACATGCTACTTATTGGGCTTAAGGGTGATCTTTAATTATGCAGCCGAACACAAACACAGACACGCATGTGATGATCAGTGCCTGCGCAGACATCGCAAAGCGACTGGACCCCTCCGTAAGGAGATCTCATCCTATAGACCCAGGGAGAGACCCTCACACAGAACCTCTTTGTTCCTCAGGCTGTGTCTGGACGACAAACTGCAGCTGGCCACAGCATCGCACCCACGTTTGATTTCCCCCGGGGCGGCACTCACGTGCTGGGGAGGGGGGGGGGGATAATCCGGCAGCATGCGGCAAAGCGGGAGGGCAGGCCCCTTTCAACAAGCGTCTCCAAACCTCAGTGGAGGATGCGAGAGGATTATGGATTATATCCTCTCTAATTTACATTCCTGAATGTTGGGAAATCCATTAACCCAGTTTGCCCTCAGCCGACGAGTCACAGGCAAATTTAATCAGCTCGCTCCCCGCCAGAACGCAGCCCCTCTGCGGACTTAATTGAATTGGAGGAGTCTGCCATCTTCTTCTGGCTTCGAAAATTCCCAGCGAGTCGAACTCGCGGCCACAACTCAGCACTGCGGTGGGGGTGGGTCTCTTATTCAGAACCGTTGCCCCGCCGTGAGAAGACGATGGCCGGGCCGGACCTGTGCCTCGGAGGGTCGGAGACGACCGGAGAGTCCGCACAGCTCTGCTTTAGCCTGCGTCTGCACAGCCAGCGAGGTGATTGACAGGCAGTATCCGAGGCCACAAAGGAGCATCCGTCTGAGGACTCGGAGGGCCGATAAGGGGAGGGACACCAACCGAAAGCGGCCACTGGGCCAGTGCCGCGCTCAGAGTAACGTCAATGGGCGACGCTAATTACTCCTCACCGCATGGGGATATACACACTTCCAGGGAGGATTAAAAATATATCAATCTCCCACTAAAAATATATAAAAGGCAGAGTCTGACATTTTTGTTAAATCCCTGCTGGAAAATCTCCGGTGACTGCAAACCCAACAATGACTTGGGAACAAAGGCAATGACAAAAAAAAAAAATATCCTCATAAAAATCACAAAGAACCTACAAATAGCTGCTCTTTTCACAAAAAAAGACCCCCCCCCCCCCAAATGTTTTCAAAGGATTTTATCACACAGTCGGGCTGCCTGGCTGTAGGGCGCTTGGCGTGTTTGTTAGACAAGATAAACACTTCATTGTGGGGAGGGGGGCGGGGCACAAAGGAGGCGACCCCTGTGACCTCTCCCCTCGTACCGGGAACGCCATCGATCTCTTCCTGCACTGAAATAGGACCTCTTTCTGAGGACTGGTCCCTGAACAGAAAAAAGTCGAACATCAACAGCATGTTCAGGCTCAGTCAGAGATAGCTCTTTGAAATGGGAGTTAAAAAAATAAAGTAAAAATTTATTTTAAAATAAATAATGAGAGCATAACCTATCTGAAATACACGAGATGGTCACACGGTTGCTTGGCACCCCCACCTCATCGGATGGTGATGGGGGGGGGTGTGGGGTGAAATACAATGCACTCCCTCAAACCCCGCCCCCAAATGAAAGAGTGCACGACAGCCACACGGCTAACCGTTCTGCCCATACACTGGGAAAGGTCGCTTTGTGAGACAGCAAGGCATTCTGGGAAAAACCCGCCACTCCGCTTCAAAGTTTGACTCCTACAGAATCATGTTTGCATTGGTGGTGGTGGGGGCTTCTCAGTAGTGGACTTTCTAGGAACAGAACGTTTGAGTCACTTTTTTGGGGGGGGGTGGCAGGGTGCCAGGATTGCGCAGATTCTGGGTGGGTTATCAAATAACCTCACTGGCAGGGCCATTGAGGATAGACGTGGACTGGAGGCCAGCAGAAGCTCACTAAGACAAAGGCACAGGAATCTGGCCTTGTGAGCGTCACGTGGGGCACGTTGACCATTGCGGGACAGCCGACTGGCACACGGCAGCCTTGGCCAAACACCAAACACGGAACCTGGGGCGTCGGATTTCAGCTGGAGCCACCTGAAGGGCTTGCCCAACACCGCACGGGATAGCAGGTAACGGAGGTGGAAGATCTGCGACGGGTTCCTCAGGTGGGCCGAGAGACCGGAGGCCAGAGCATCATTTCCCAGGAGAGAGAAGGGAAAGCCTGGGTTCAGAGAGTGCCCAGCACCCCTGGAGAAGCCATGGTTAAGGGCCTCGCCCAAGGGCCCAGAGCTGATGCAGTTACTCTGCTGGGCATGAGCTTGGAACCCCTGACCTTTCACATACTGAGACACAGACCACCCCCATCTTTAGCAAGATGACTGCTCGACCCATTTCAAAGCCCAGAATGCACTGCTCCTCTTCAGAAATGATCCGCTCCCCAGAGGTGGCAGACTGGGGTATTCGTGAGGGGACGTGTCACGGTGCTGGGGTGCCTCACCTCGGAGACAGAGGAAGGTCAGGAAGTCCTCCGTTTTGGGCTTGCGCCTGGAGAGGTCCGTGATCTGCGAGGCAGGGGTGGGCAGCATAGCCTCAGCTGCCTTCACTGGGGTCGTGCTGGGAGAGTTGGGTTGAGACTGAGCAAACTTCCTCTGGGCTTGCAGTCTGGGCCTGTAGGGAGGCAAGAAGACGGCATGAATCAGACTCTAGCATGAAGCAGCTGCCCAATGGGAGTCATCAGCACAAGTCAGGGGAGAAGCTTAACCTCAGCACTGTGAGTGTGACGGCTAGTGGGCACCTCAACACACGGGTGGCGGGCACCTCAACACACGGGTGGCGGGCCCCTCAACACACGGCTGGCGGGCACCTCAACACACGGCTGGCGGGCACCTCAACACACGGCTGGCGGGCCCCTCAACACACCGCTGGCGGGCACCTCAACACACCGCTGGCGGGCACCTCAACACACCGCTGGCGGGCACCTCAACACACGCCTGGCGGGCACACCAACACACGGCTGGCGGGCACCTCAACACACGGCTGGCGGGCACCTCAACACACGCCTGGCGGGCACCTCAACACACGCCTGGCGGGCACACCAACACACGGCTGGCGGGCACCTCAACACACGGCTGGCGGGCACCTCAACACACGGCTGGTGGGCACGCCAACACACTTTGAGAAGCCAAGATGTCATCTAGCCATGTTAAGCAGACCCATCATGACCACCATCAAAACCTACCTGCATCACTGTGTGCTAACAGCCAGTTATGTCAAGATTTCAATACAATTAACTACATATAACCAGAGAAACACCAATCCAGTCATTTTTATCTGATTCTTGATCGAACATAATCATCTTTTGGTATTTCAAGTTCAAGAAGTTTATCATCATATACACAGTAAAAACACTGAAACGTTCTTACTTTGCTGTCTTACTTTACTTATCGTTGAGTAAAAGGAAAGTAAAAGGAAAGTGTTCTGCGTATTGCTACAAACAAGGTAACAGTCAATGACAGTAATGTATTTTAATCCTGATAATTAACGACAACTGATCCGATCTTCACTCACAACAGTATTTCTTAAAGATAAGCTTCATTAAGACCGACTGCCGAACAGAACTCCACACTTTAACTACCGTTCAGTTATGTAGGTCCTGCACTTACGCTCCTCTGCTCTGACCTTCCCACACAAATATTCTTCCCCTAGCTAAAGAAAACAAGATTTCAAGCCAGGATACCTCTGGCACTGCAGATCAACACTTCACAGCTTATTTTAAACACACAGGCCCATTTCCCGTCTCAGACACGGACAGGACTTTTTAATCTGTGCGGTGCGTTTAGAAAACAAACAGATGAATTAAAAAAAAATTGAAAATGGCCATAAGTGGCTGGGGGGAGGAGCAGTGGAGGCTGGCCAGCCAAGTAAATATCTTCAGACAACTGCTGTAACCCTGGAGTCGGTTGCAGGTCGGGGGGAGGGGGGGGGGGTATCTGTGACATAAATGGAAACCAAACTATGCTTGTGGCAAATTGGCTAGTGTGGACTCTTCCTGTGTGTGCGTGTGTATGTGTGCGTGTGCGTGTGTGTGTGGGGGGGAGGATAGCTCATGTTGGAGCCGTGTGAAGCCGTCCTGAACTCCAGGGTGGTGGGGGGGGGGGTGCAGACCTTCTCCACCATTCATCAGAAAAGAAGCCGCCATTCATAGAAAAGCCGGGCCTATGATGTACAGCAGTGCTTGTGGAATGTTCCGGAAGTGCAAAGCAGGCAACTGGTCGCAGCTGACAGGCCCCACCACACGCAGAGCGGGCGAGCAGAGTGTCCTCAGCGAGCGGACAGAACCACCCACTTCCAGAGAGGAGCCAGACATGGGCGTTTGCATCGCGTTGCGTCTGGCTGACTTCCTAATCGGATGAAAAACGGCCCTATCGCTGACATTAATCTGCCAAACACGCATGCTGTATCTGAGACCGGTCACCCTTACATACATATTACTCTTAGCACGGAGGAAAAGCTCTCTGGCACATTAGCAGCACATTACTAAATATTTTGATGGCAGGACTTTACTGGTTAGAATCACAGTGTAAAAATAAGTCAATTGTCTTATTCCCTAACCAATTGCTGGTAAATAATCTGGGCAACTATTCAGCATCTACACGATAAAGACATTTGTCTGTTTGATGTTTAATAACACCTTAGTCAAGAAGAGGTCTGTAAATTTAAAACAAATCTCGCACCCAAGACAAAAACAAACGATCATCCAAAAACACAAATCCACCAGCCAACAGAAGATCGCATACGGACTGTCGGTAGTTAGCAAGTATACCCCCCACCCCCCCGGAGGGGACGGCGTCTCGTCTTGTTAAACTACAACGAGGGCCAGCACTGGGGTGTCTTTAAGAGCTACCAGATGAAGTCCAGGCGGCTAACAAGTTAAAGGGAGGTCAGAGGTCAGGCGCTCGAGCGCTTTGTGGCAGAGCAAACAGCCGGCAGACAGCAGACAAATGTGCTGTTTGTTTTTGCTTTTGTTTCAGGTTTTTTTTTTTTTTGGAGTCTGCTTCTTGCATGAGGCCCCAAAGGCATCGGGGGGGTTCGGGTTGCTATTGATTTTACCTCCACTTTTGTTTTAGGTTCACAGGATACAAAAAAGATGAATGGGGGGCCCATCGGCTGAATAATTAAGGAGGACTTTAATTGGATGAGACACCAGTTGAGCAAAGGGGCCAGTAAAATGAGGATGTCTGTGGTCTAAGAACTCCGTCTAGACGGCATCAGGAGTGGATTTTATTGGACCGTTACGCTTATCAGTTACCGTACTGCCCAATTAAATGCAGCTCTGATTCATATGCGTGGACTCACACACCAATAAACACTGGTGGTGATACCCGGCTTTATCTGCTACTGAGAATTAAGAATAGCCCCCCCCCCTCTCCCGACTGCCCCCACTGGAAAATGAGAGGAGACAGCCAAAACGTGCCACTTCTCACTGGCTTTGGGGAAAACTGGGCGCAGTCGCTTCCAGCAGAAACAGCCCCCACTCCTTGAAAGGCACGGGTGGGCCCCGCTCATCTGGATCCAGTGTCCCAGACAAAATCCAGGACCCGGCCCCAGAAGTCCGCAATCCTTTCAAATTCGCCTCCAAAGGACCTTCGGCACTGGGACCACTCAACAGGGCGAGATCCAACGGCGTGACCTTCCTGTTTATGCAGAGATCCGAACCCCCTCCCCCGACTGCAGCTCAGCAACTTGGGAGACGGTGGGGGTGGGGAGGGGCCACAGAATCGCTTGTCATCACCAAAATTACCGCCACCCTCCATATGTCACAAAAGCTGCATTGTCTAAATTATTTCTCACGGGTCAAACATGAACGTGCAAATACTATGATGTCGGAAGAATCGAGCAGAAAAGGAGAGCGCCGCCCTGCTGGCAGGCCGTGGGAAGGGCCTCCCACTCAGGGCAGAAATCAAAGCCCAGGGTGAGAGTTTATCCCAGACATAACCAACTCCCACCCCCCTCCTTCAAAGGAGCCTGTGCTCTGATGTCCAGTATGATGTTGCACGGACACACAAATCCAGCAAAGAAATGCTTTCCAGAGCTGCATGACCCAAACGAAACACTCCGAGACCATCCAAGGCGGTCGCTCAGGGGCTCAGCTTGCTCCCCACGCGAGAACAGGCAGGAAATGCACAGGATCGAGCCCTCAGCTCCCAGCTGCAGCCCTACTAAGCTTATACATTCATAAGTAAACGCAAGTCTGCTCCTGCACCTGAATTTAATTATGGTGACCTAGAAAAGAGGTCGTTGCATGTGGGCCTATCCAGGAGGCGCCGGAGGTGACCCACGTACAGACCCACGGGTCTAGATTGATCAGAACACGCCGGGTCCACAGAGCTTCCACAAATGAGGGGCAACACCCTAATCGCACCCCGGTGCGGGGTGGGGGCAGCATCAAAGGCATTCCTGAACAGCGGGGGAGGCTCTTAATCTGCAGGTCAGGCTGAGACCCCGCGAGCGCAGCGGCGAGGAGGTCTGCGAATACAGAGGGGTGTCTGTGGTGCGGAGCCCAGGCAGCCTGGATGCAGATGGTCCCGCCGCCACCGGGTGAAACAAACGGAGGCCAACGACAGGCGTCTGGCGCTGAAACACACCCCACAGCAAGCAGGCGATAGGTGGCCACCCCGACTATAATTAATCATGTCTGACTGGCAGCTAGGTGACCGAGGTAAGCGGCCTCACTGAGGACCCCGCGGTGCCAGACCGTCCGGAACGTCGGGATTCATCGGCCGCTTTAAAAAGCGAAATGACGTCGGTCACGCACGCGTCCCTAAGCGCTTGACTCGAGGTCAAGAGGCCCCCCTCTGCCGAGGGCTGTTTAATTGTGAATGTTTGCGTGTGTCATCCACTGATGTGGTGGAAGGGGGGGGGGGGATTGAGGTACCAGGCCATGAAACCACATTGAATTCTGGGTGAAACAGATGATCCGGATGCCTGGCTGGACGTCCCGCGACCTGGTAAACATATCCCAGAGACAGACAGACACAAACAGAGCACTTCAAAGCCCCCAGGGTCCCTCGTATAACTGCACCCCCTGCTGGTGGACACTGCACTCTTAATTAACAGCATATCTGGGGTCCTCGCCCCCAGTGACACAGAGTAATGGGGCAGCTTATGTGACGGCAGCCCCCCCCCCCCAAATCAGCACCCAGCAGAATAAATGCTTCCAGATGTGCCAGATGGTGCGAATGATCTCTCCCGACAGCAGCTACCAGCTGATTCCAGTGGGAGACGTCTGCACATCTGCACGGAGACCGGAGCAGTCAGCGAGGCACGCAGTGCCGCTTGGTGGGGCGGGGGGGGGGGGGTAAAAACCCTGCTACCGCCATCAAAAAACATGACCAGCGACTCCAAGGCTGAAACCTGATTTTTAAATACGAACGAAACAAAGAAAGATGACGTATCCAACTACGATGCGTTCTAGCTGAAGAACGTTTCATTAACATTTGATTAACTCTATAAATCCGTTATTTAAGAGCCCACTGTGGACACGTGTCCGACAGTCACATTAATAAGCACACCGATTAAGGCCTCGTTTAACTCTGTGTGTTTACTGCCTGCTGTCAGCCCACAGCGGCCTGATTTGTGTCTGTATTGATGGATCGTCCCATACTAACCACTGACCCGGTGCCTCAGCCAAAGGCCAAGCCGTGAAATGCCAGTAACGACCAAAGGAGGGCGCTAGTGTCCATCTGAGATATTGACACACCCCCGGTAATGTGTACACTGTCAAACACCAGTCACATGATCACACTGTTGGCGTACAACGTGTGGAGGAAATCCTTCTTAAGCTTTCACTCTCCGTTAAACCGGATTGACAACCATCTCGAAAAAAATCCCAAGCACAAGCAAACACACATACAGGACATTTGAAGAGCGCCACCACTTGGCAGGTAAGAAGCACAGCGACAGGCCAGGGCTGTATGACACCCTTCCCCCCCGAAATCCGACTGTTCGGTCCCCACGGTTCAGCCGGACGGGAGCTCTCCCAGGCTGCGTTAATGGCATCTACGGAACCATGAAACTGAATCCAATCTAACTGCTATTTCATTAAGGGGGGGGGGCATATTTCAAAAGGGACCCACATAATGCTACATAGTATAACGCATCTCATACACCCACACTCCCCCAGACCCGCACTGACACATTATCACCATTAGGGGGCGCCAGTGGAGGACGAGCAGCGGCAACGACAGAGAGGCAGTTTGTTAGATAAAACCGCAGGGTGCTCGCTTCCTTCTGAGCCAACAGCATGCTTCAGTCACGATAGCGAGACCAGCTTTGGCGCCCTCAGCTACGCCACGCCACACCTAACCGCCCAATCGGACTAGGCGTCACTATACAGCAGGAAGCTGCTCTCATTCTTACGCTGTGAGTCAGGCTCTCCTGCACCGAGGCTTCTCACGCTACACGATGCCACGGCCACACGCACGTATGCAGGGGCGTATGTGTGCGCACACACACACACACACACACACACACACGTTTCACTTTCACAAGGAGCCGTTTTGCGGTTGGGCAGAATTGCTAGGAACTGGAAACGTGGCCAGGGCTGTAGGTTAGAGGCTTTATCAGGGATAACACCAAGCCGGGAACATTATCCGCGGGTAACGCAGGCATGACGCCCCATTCTCTTAGCGTTATCATGGACGTATCTTTAGCCCGCATGGTGATATTCGATACGAGGCACATGCCTCACAAACGTTAGAGTATGGGGGCATGAGACGCGACGTTAAGCCAGCGATCAGAAGCTGGGATCACGACTCTACGCTTAACAAAATATACTGTTGTTCTGGTTGAAGGAGCCCTTTATCAGCATCGTCGTCATCATCCGCCCCTCCTGGGCCTCCCGAGGGGGCACTTGAAAGACTGATCTCAGATCGGCGACATACCGGCGCCCTTAAAGAGACAGGCATTCCAACAGAACTGCCACGAACTAAACCCCGAGCATTTGGATAGGTCACATTCGACCTCCCCATCACCCACCCGTGGGCTGAACAAGATGTCCAGGTGGATCTTTCTGGAAACAGCACAATGTCAGGGTGAATGCAGGCCGCACAGAAAACGAGGCCTAATTACACCAGGCTTCGCTAACGTGCCTCTCCTCCCTCAATCAGCAGCAGCGTTCCTCAGCAGCCCAAGGCGGTGAGACTGACTTAGCACGCTGTCCAGCCGATTCCATTGCGACTAACGTGCCGCTCGCTCCGCCAGCACTGCGGACTCAGCCATGTCTCATCATACCTTGGAAGCACTGCAGCTGTTTGTTTATGGCTCCTTCCCCAAGTGAAATGCCAGCGCAGTACGTTCACAGCCCAGATGAACATGGCTCATAGCCCCGCCCCCTTAAAGACTCCGCCCCTTGTCCTCAAACAGCCTCTTCCTAGCTTTAGGAGAAGACCACCAGGATCAGAACGCTGAGGTACCTGTAATGCCTCTCCCTGTGGTGCTACTGAGCTACCCCTGCCCCCTCCTCATGACTGCCAAAGGTAAGGCTGCCTGACTCCCACTACTCATTAAAAGGGGCGGGGCAGTGGAAGGTGGGCGGGGCAGTGGAAGGTGGGCGGGGCAGTGGAAGGTGGGCGGGGCAGTGGAAGGTGGGCGCTCACCTGCACTGCTCCGGCCCTTTCAGACACCACGGGACAGCAGGCCTTTCCTTAACGGCCACATCTGCTGCCCTCCCCCGCCTCACACTGACTGGCCGCAGAGCAGCTCGCGGTGACAGGTACGCCGGCGACAGGTGCGCACCCCACGGGTCCTTCTGGAAAGCGGGCCAGCGTGAGCGTGGGGCTTTCCAAGCGGATCACAGGCGACCCGACGTCAGAAGCCCGAGATCGGGGCCAAGCGAAGCGGACATCTGCTGGAGGCGGCGCCCAGTCAGCCGCGGATTAAAGGCAACCTTTGATGTGGGGATTTCGCGTCTCTCCCTCCTCTCCGTTCCCGTGCGGCGGCCGCGTTTTTAATCCGGGGCTGAGGAGCGACAGCGTCAGGCCCTGTGTGCTTTTACAAAGCCGCATGCCTGAGAGGCCCCCGCTGCTGGGGGAGGGGCATCTATCCTGCCCCACTGAGAAACAGCACTGGGAAGAGAAAGCGAGAGACGGGCGGCGGAGATGGCAGGTGGGATTTCAGCACCAAGGACCGTGAGATTGGAGCATCACAGGCCATCAAAGCAGAAGACCTGAGCAAAACATGGCGGCGACAGGTCAAGGTCACGGCCGTGACGCTCATCATTTAATTTCGCTTTCCTGACCACAGATAAAGAGGCTCCCATAGCAAAGGGCAGCGTGATGGACAGCATGGCTTCACATGCAAACGGTCCACATGGCCGCTTACCCAGGCTGCTACTGTAAACAGGCCAATTCCTCCCAGCTAGACGGGGAAGGGGATGCACATCTTATCTGACAGGAAGGACGCCAGAGACCCCCCCATCCCATATCAGCGGGAAGCCAGGCACAGAGCTAGCTAATCGGTATAATTAATATGGAGGGGGGGGGGGGTTAATGGTCATACAAATGCAGCTACCGGCCTCATTGATTGGTGCCATTACAAAGATAAATGCGTGCCTTGCTTGGCAGGGAGGGGGACACGCTGCTCAGAGGCAGACAGGAAGTCACATCCAGCAGAGGGGAGGGGAGGAGGAGCCCTTGCTGATTAGGAAGCAGCAGGGGATCTTGGGTAATCTTTCAGAACCGCCCACTTCAGAGCCCAGGACGCCGCACTCTGTCTTTGCCCTGATTTTAATAAAGTACCTGGTATGAAGGGAACCAGACGCTGTAAAACGGTGCATTTACCGTGGTATGAGGAGCAATTGACTAGTAAAACGCCGCATCTACCGTGGTACAAGGAGTTGCAGGGCCACCCTGAATATGCCTTCCCGTCCACACTGATGCAGCCCCCAGATCTGTTCCACATTTTACACAATCGCCTCTGCTGTGCTGACAAGCAAGTCAAGCAAATCTGCTTTTTAACTTACCACCTATGTGTCAGGATTAAAAAGGTCACATTTTGTGTCTTACTCAGCATTTACGGTTGACATACAGCCTAGCGCAGTTCTCATTGGTCCACCTGACAGCCCTGTGGTGCAATAGTAGCCGCCGGTTCTGCAGGTGACTCACCTCTTCTTGACTGGGCCGTCCTCCGAGTAGTCACTGCCGCCATCTGTGCTCTGAGTCGAACCCCGGCCGCCCTCCTTAGCCAGGCCTTTGGACCCCGAGCCATTCAGCTGACCAATCGCCAACGAGCCTGTGTGTGTGTAGGGGGGGGGGAACGTTTAAGGTAAACAATAAAAATGGAGTAACAAACGGCCTCATTTCTAATTACGGCACAGAGAGGGATGGGGATTAGGACACGCCGAGTCATGTGACATATGACAGACCCACAAATAGTTTTTCCCAGCATTCACCAGGGTCTCCACGCGCTACACCATCAGACACCAGAGAGACGGCCACGTTCCATTCCCCACACACACACACACGCACACACACACACACAGCCAGCAGGATACATCCAATGAGCCACCCCACACTGAGACAACGCCCCCCACTGGAGCAATTTAAGGATCACACACGCTCTTGCTCAGTCAACATCCTCACATACAAATTAAGGATATAGAAACTTTAGATCAGCGTTTCCCAATCTGCGACCCACAGCCAGTCCACGTTTTGCTCGGAGCTCCCTGACAATTGGAAGCTGGGAGGAAGCAAAAACGTGGACTGACCACGGATTGGGAAGCACTGCTTTAGGTGGCTACAGGGAGGCATGAGCACAGTGGCTCTCATACACACCCCCACCCCATACAGCTGCCCTGGGGCAGATCTGTCCCTGGTACACAGCATCTCAGCCAAAGCCCTCTGCAAACACACTGAGGCACATTGTGTGGAAGCATGAGGTCAGGCGATCGCGTGTGCCGCTCACTCCTGCTGCCAGGGGGCGGGGGGGCAGGCCAGACGTCCAACATGGCCCAGTAATGAAGCCCAAGCAGATATCATCATCATCATCATCATCATCCATTTCACTGTAGACAGATATGCAGCGTTGCCATGGCGGCAGCGCCCGCCTCTTCCTCCTCCTCCCTCCCCCCACCATGAGCAAAGCCCCAAAGAGCTGTGCTGGGAGAAGAGGGGGTCTCTGCAGGAAGCAGGGGCTTCTGGCCACTGATCTGATCACAGAGGTGAAACAGTGACCCCTCAGGTTCCAGGGGTGCGGCTGGGCGGGGGAATGACATCACTGCTCATTTCCATGCAGTGACTCCATCCGGAGTCAGAGCCTGTTGCAGGGAGTCCTTCGCACTTCACACCAAAGAGCAGCTACTGGGAACCATGACAAGGAGACACCCCGTGCTCCAGGCCTCCCTCAGAAGCGGAGCTCCTCCTGACAACTGAAATATCACCCCAAAGAGCATCTCTAGGAAATGTGACCCTGCCCAGGAACTTCCATGGAGCACAGAAAGTGGGGGGGGGTGGGTGCTGTCATGTGAAGCTCCCCCCACTGATGCCAGCGCCAAGAGAACCTCGTCAGAGTCACTTCAAACGGCCCCCATTTCAACACCTCAGGCAAATCCACCATATCCACCCCCCCCCCACCCCACCACCCTCAGATCTGCTTTCTTGATGTTCACGCTGGTGCCCCCGCTTACAGTTTCCATCCTCACCACATGCCCCCCCCCCCTAATGTGGAATAATCACCAGCCCTTAATAATTGTGCCTATCTAATGTGAGCAGCCTCTCAGCACTGACGGACATTCAGGTGCATTTTCCGACATCGTTCCGGAAATCTGTTGTCCTGTAAAAAATTTTTATCCGTCCCACTGCCTATGAATCAAATGCACTTTGCCCATTCAAATCACATATCTGACACAAAAAAGTGAAAAACAGCTGAAATACTTGTTTCATTAATGGTTTATACACATAACACGAAACAGGCTGCTGTCAGCTTTACAATTAAAATGACAGACTGGAGCTGAACGCGGCTATGCATTTCTCACACTGTATCCAAAGATTATGTATTTTTAACCAAATTAATATTCAGGGGCATCTGACGAGCAGCTTCAGTGGAATATCTCCACTTGGTCTGGTGGGATGACAGATGGATACATTCCCATCCAAAGGCTGCTGACAGCAGTGCAGGTCAAATCTTACACTCATCATATAGCCAACCTGACCTACAGTTCCCATAAACCCCTGCAACAGGAAGTCCTGGCAGCACATGACCATGCCCTAACCAATCAGGTCGAGAACATCTGGAGACAAGACCCCCTCAGCCTGTGCTGTAGCTCTAAGAAGGACCCGACTGGGTCGCGCTGATTCGGGGAGAGGGAGCTCACCATTCGCACCCTTGGTTCCATCGCTGATGCCGTCCTCCCCGAGTTGCCGTTTCCGGGAGCTCTTGAACTCCTTGAGGGAGAGATAGAGGACTCGGCGCACCACTCGCTCCTCTGACCAGGGAATGCCATCGCTGTCGTCCTGCACAAAAGCACAGCAGAGGAACACAGGTTACCATACAGCCACCGTCCACACCAGTGGTCACATGATCACTATTACCATACAAGCGACATTCCCAGTTCACACATCACCATCAGCAAGCACAGATGTACACTTGACCCGTGCGAAGCAGACGCCACTGCGACTGCACACAGCTACACAGAACAGCCAGAGAAAGCATGTGAACAACACACTGGACTGGCCAGGGATACCGCCTTGGGAGGACTATAGAGTAGGGCAACTCTGGCTGCCAGAACCTTCCATGGAACCTCCCTGCTACCCATCACGTAAATACCTGTGAGGTTTTGAACACCATTCCCATGACCTAAGGGTGAACATGGACACCCACCCACACCACACTTCCGGAACAGTGCACTGCACACGCACACGTGTATACGACCAGCAACATTGCTGAACATCTAACGTGCCTCCGACCGGATATGACCGCGTGCTCCCATTCAAAGCCGCAGGTGACCTTACGTGACCCGCTACAGTCGTTTTAGAGGGAACCTGCAGCGGTTTATGGCTGACCAGCCAGAGTAAACACATAAACAAATGACATCACCCCACTGAAACCACCATGCAACCAAAGCTGAGGCCCCCTAAAGGCCAGTACGGGAATGGCGGCTAGAGCATGCCGTCAAGTCACGCACGGGCGGTTCGAAGCGCGATTCGGCTGCCGTCAGGGGAGACTGCACCACTGATCCAGAGAGCCCCGTCGTACACCACGACCCCCCCAGCCCACGCTGCATGTTTGCCTCCTTAAACAGCCAATTAAAAAGTGGGCTACGGTGGAGACCCACACACGCACACAGACAGATACCCCCCCCCATCCCAGAAAACCGCCAGCCAGCAGGTGCCTGCGTGTCCCGTAGGTAAACAACACCCCCTGAATAAAATTTGAATGTTCATTTAAAGTACCTCAGAGGATTATGGGCAGAGAGGCACAGATGAACCCCCCCCCCCCCCCCCCCCCAACCCCCAAAAAAAAGAACCCCCCCGGGGGGGGGGGGGGGGGGGGGGTAAAAACCCTGCTACCGCCATCAAAAAACATGACCAGCGACTCCAAGGCTGAAACCTGATTTTTAAATACGAACGAAACAAAGAAAGATGACGTACCCAACTACGATGCGTTCTAGCTGAAGAACGTTTCATTAACA